TTAGCCAGCAGAATGGTGGGGAGCAGAGGTCAAAACCCACGGTGTCTCAGTCTGACGAGGACGCCAGCTCTCTTTCCTCTTTTCCTACTGCGTTACCTTCATCGCTTCGATTGTGTGACCCAGACAAAGGGCTCTGATGCTGTGTTTGTAAACAGAGCGTCGTTACAGAAATTGTGTTTTCGAGTGAGCCAATTACCCAAAGTGTGTGTCTGTCGTAGGTAATGAGAGTGTGTACATCCAGCACGAAAAACGACAAAAATACAAGTAAAACCAGAAAAACACAACAAAGGTTGCTAGGAGCTCGCAACACGGCAGCCATGCTCGGTGCCATCTTGTTGACACGTTAGCCCCGTCATTTCTTTACCCCTTTTAAGGACTGATTTGGAGTATGGTGGTTAGATATGTGAATTTCTGGAAGTGAGACTGTCATGTCATATTTTGAGGTAGCATTGTAGAAAATCCCTGTGACATGCTCACTGAAGCTCTGCCCACTGTTTGTAGAACCTCTCTGATAAGCTGCATCCCAAATCGCATATATATGCACTATTCTACGCCATTTTGTAGTATAAATAGTGTAAGTAGTGTGTTCACACTGAAAACTCTAAAAATGATAAGTGCACTTTAATTACCCGGATGATGCACTCATTCAGCCAGTAAAGTGAAGTGTGGAATGATGGACACTTCACGCACTCAACGACCACAGGTTTTCTTACATAGCAGAAGGGGCCGAGCTATCGGGTGCACATGTTGGATAACTTTATTTATTTTGGATGGTGAAAGCAAAATTCTCCTACAAGAGTGATTATAGCGCCTCCCGATGGTGTTTGCGGTTATACTCAAGGCAGGTATTATTTGATAATTCGGTCGTTTATTTCCCTGATTTGGCAACCGTCAAACATTATCAGGGAAACGGTTTGAATTTCCGCTTAGTAAAAAAACATTAGTGTGCTCCATTTGGGACGACACTGCATACATATACTATGCTGTTGAGTGTGTAAGTGCATAAGTAAATAGTGCATGAGTGCATAGTGTATAGTGTGCCATTTGGGACACAGCGATAGACTCATTGAAGGCCTATCCATGGTTCACAGCTGCACTTCATCACACAGTCATCAGCAGCCCTTAAAGTAATGTGGCCTTAGAGTATGCGTGCTTTAGACTTCTCATGTGCTGTTGTGGCTGTGTGCGAATGTGAGTTCTGTTTTCTTGTGTTTATGAGTAGTGTTTGTTTATGCTGGTGTTTTTTACTGATTTATTTTGTTTGATTTGGCTTTATGCATTTATGCTTGGAAACTAATCTGATACCATGTGGAGAGATTCATGTACTTGCATGTATCTAGTATCTTGCCTCAAGCGTTTTGACTAACACTCGATTGTGATACTCCCACTGCGAGTCTGCATTGTCATTAATCTTTTAGAACCATAGTTTTAGAATACAGTATTGAGTCTTTCATTTTATTCTGATAGTTGTTGTGTTACAGTGGCAACTCTGTAATTACTACAGTAGTTCTTCACTATAGCATGGTTCAAAAACATTTTTGGGTTTTGAAATTTCCCTAAGTTGCTGGGATGCCACAGCTAAACTTTTAGTCACTTGTGCCAATGCCAAACATTGGTTTTAATGGTGCCAGCAGTGGAAATCTTGGGCCAGTGGAAATACATGTGAAACATGTACTTTTCTCTTTAGAGATCACCTTCACTGTCTTTCCCGCATTCGAGAGAGTTATGATGTGTAGAAGCCCCAAAGAGTAGACCACCCAGACTGTTACATTCCCAGAGTGAAGCATGGGGGTGGATCAGTGATGGTTTGGGCTCCAATATCATGGCATTATATAGGCTTGTTATAGATGGGTGAGTCACTTTCAGACCACCAATGGTTTAAACATCGTATGGCAGTTCTATGCATCACTATGATAATGCAACAATATACAAGACTGATGACAAAGTGGTATAAAATATATGGAAGTGATGCCTGCACAATCACCAGACCTAATATTATTGAGCCACTTTGGGGTGTTTTAGAGGAGCAAGTAAGGAAGTTGTTTTTTTTCCTCCACCAACATCTTGTAGTGACCTGCCCACTATATTGCAAGAAGAATGGGTCAAAATCCCTCTGGCCACTGTGCAGGACTTGTTTATGTAATTTTCATCGTCTAACCCCTATAACATCAGTTACATTGTTAATTAGACAATATTTAAATTTATACTTATTGTAGATTTTATAATCAAAGAACTATAGATGAAATAATATGATGGAATTCTATGTAAAGCAATGCAATTATACAATTAAACACATCACACAGCAGGTCTTATAAAATATAGCTTATGTTTTAACACAACTTTTCTAAAATGTTGTTATAGTACAGTTGTTAAAGGATAGCTCATCCCAAAATAAAATATCATCATTCACTCACCCTTTACTTGTTCTAAACCTGTTTGAGTTTCTTTCACCTGTTGAACAAAAAAAGAAGATATTTTGAAGAAAGCTGTAAACCTGTAATAATCAACTTCCATAGTTTTTTTTGTTTTACTATGGCAGTGGTGACAAATTAGCTTTCTTCAAAATATCCTATTTAGTGTTTAAAAGAAGAAAGAAACTCCTGAAGATTTGAAAGAACTTGAGGGTGAATAACTGATTAAAGTCTTGATTTATTAAGGATTTTGATTAAATTATTAAGATCTTGATTAAAACCTATTTTATTTTATGTTTATTTTAGGGGGAAAAATATCCTATTTGTATGTATGTATGTATGTATGTATGTATGTATGTATGTATGTGTATGTATGTATGTGTATGTATGTGTATATATATATATATATATATATATATATATATATATATATATATATATATATATACACACACACACATTTTAATAGCTTAATTGCTTTGCAATTAAATAGCAATGCTGAAAAAAATAACATTTAAAAATGTCTTAAATACAGTATGTTACACACTGTAACCACTAGGTGACAATATAACACCTTTTTTGTAATGTGCAATTTTTGTGTGTGGACTAATGTAGTAATAAGATAAATTTATGACATTTTGTCAAGTGCAATTATTTGAATTATTCATACTCTGTTTATTATTACTGAAGTATACATAGATAACTGAAGCAATAGATTTTTTTCCATTTCAAAATAACCACTACATGACAAAGACCTGAGTTCTCCCAAAATTTTACTTGGAAAAATAATTACATCTCAAACCTCAGTTCAGTGAAATAATAGATTTCACTTACCTTTAAGTTTAAATATTGTACCATTTCACACATGCTGTTAGCACTAAGACATTTGTTGTTTAAAGCAACACCCTGTGGGATACTCAAGCATAGTGACCTCTTTAAAAATGTGGATAGCTGCAAAATGCCTTAAAAAAAGTGGGTACTAAAATATTGTTGGTTTATGGTTGCCAAAATAATCATGTAATTTGTTAATTTGTCTTCAAGTGAAATCAATTGTCGTTCATTTTATTCTATCAGTAAAGTACTTTATTATGGTATGTTATTAATTATTTTATTTTAGCAAACAAGACATGGAGCTGACAGGCTTTTAAAGTGATCAGTGATGGGTAAGTTACTTTTTAAAAAAAAAAAAATTTAATTGCATTACTTAAATTGTATTTAAATTACATTTTCTGAAAAATAATTTAATGACTTGACTCAATACAACTTCAAATCCTTAATCTCAAAGAATAGAGAATACAAATTAATTATTTGTAATTGGGCAATCCTTTAGCCTTGTTTCAAACAATATCACTCAAGAAATGTTAAGTGAAGTCTCACAAACTAATTTAGAGAGGAGCATGTGATATGATCGAGTACAGCTGATCCTCATCCCCAATCATCTGCTAGCCGATCAGATCATTCTAAAACTACTATAAATATCCTGCCTGAACTTCATTCCTTCATTTTTGGAAAACCCACCTCCCTCATTCTTCCCTTTTCCCTCCTCAATCATGATCAGGCAACACAGTGGCTCTGTGGTTAGCACTGCTGCCTCACAGCAAGAGGGCCACAGGTTCAAGTTCTAATTAAACCAGTCAGCACTTCCTGTGTGGAGTTTGCATGTTCTCCCTGTGTTTGCGTGGGTTTTCTCCAGGTCCTCCGGTTTCCTCCTAAAATCTAAAAACATGTACATTGGCCTAATCTATCTCAGAGCTCATGGTTCTCTCCCGGGACAGCATGCCAAACCTGCTATCATAGTTGAGCATTGTCTAGGTGTAAACTCTTGAAACATATTTATCAAAATACAAAATGTTACAAAGTGATAATGACACCATATTTCAGCTATATTAACAATAATCTCCTACTCAATTCATTGTTTCTTAAGCATCTGACAAACCTAAACGTCTTTAGTTGAAAATAGTTATTCTGCAGCTCTCTATTTGTAAAACATGAATTACATTTACTCTGATACTGATTTTAGAACAGCTGAATTTCTGCTCTATTTCAATTCACTGTAATTAAATTATCTACAAATGAAAGATAATCGTTTTTAGAGGAAAAGTAAATTACAGTAGTTACTTTGTAACCAATTACAGCCAACACCGTCTGAGACTACATTATATTCAAATTTTGTAATTGCTCATATAATATTTTGGACACATAATGAACATTTCATCTCTTTAAAACTGAATTATTTATTTCAAAATAAAATATTTCCACACTGACAGATGAATTTGGCCTAATACCCTGCTAAAAACAGCTTAAACCAGCCTTGGCTAAAACAGGCTAAAATAACCAGCTAAAACCAGCTTGTCCACCCTGGTTTAAGCTGGACATTATGGCTGGGCTCCCAGTCTGGCTTTAGCTGGTCATCTACCAGCCTCATAAGCTAAGACCAGGCTGGAAATGGCTGAAACCAGCCTTGAAATTACCAAACCCCCTTAAAACCAGGCTGGTCGACTAGCTAAAATCAGCCAACCAGCCTAGGCTGGTTTAAGCTGTTTTATTTTTTTTTCCGAAGTCAATACACAACTGCAAAACAGCCATGAATGTTCTTGAAACTGATTTATTTCTTACCAAAATTTCAACTTGGCAAATAACTTTCAACCTTGCACATAATCATTACAAAATTTGATCAGTTGAAATGAGACAATGGGTCTTTTTTTTTCTCAAAATAATGCAAGATAAAGAATGCACCTTTAATCGAAACATCAGTTTGGATGTGATTTGAAATGTACTGTGTGAAAGTAAACAATCTAGTATAATGTGTGCCCAAATTGGCATTAATTACCATTAGCATGTTTTGTTTTGCATAAAGTGCTTCCCGTTTCCTTTACTTCATCAACAGCATTTATATTATGTTGATTGTATGTATTTATATCAAAACAAAAAACTTATTTTTGATGTGTTATATTGTCATTATTATTATTATTATCAAGACTTTTATTGCAATGATGGTGTCATTTCACAAATTAATATAAGGGCATTTTAAAAACGATGGGCAGAAATGAGTGATGTATGATGCATAAAGCAGGTGCATTCTACCATCTTGTAACAGACGTAAAGAAACAAGCACCACATCGTAACAATGAAATATCCAGAAAACCCAAACACTGTGCACAGCAAAGTACAACTATCCAAAAATAACACTTTGTAAATGTTTTTTTTTATTATTATTATCATTATAATAAATTTAAATTACCAAAGAAACAAACACATATTGCTGTTTTTGTAGGTTGTTTTTCTGTCTTTCAACAACAGTTAAAGCAATAAAAAAGAGAGAGAAAGAGACAGACAGGGAGAGAGAAAATACATTGACTGATAAGCAGTACATGTGCAGAAAGCTGTATAGGTGGCTTCCTCAAATTACACAAGGTTCAAAGACAAACAGAGAACAGTTTACAGCACAGTCTTTAAACAGTTTCCTTTTTGGAGGGTGGGACATATCACTCATCCTTGTTTTTAACAAACACTAACATTTTCTTGGATCCTTCGAAACAAAGTCCTTCAAGTAGAGGCCACTATTGAGTTCAGTTTCTGTTCAATAAATACTCTATTTCACCTTACGTTACTGCGGTAACAGTAACCTCTCTGAAGTTCAGTCTCCGTTCCAATTGCAATTTGTATATTTATTCAGTGTCTGATGCACAACGCCCACCTTTTGTCATTTTGCTTTCCATGTTTTATCAATCATCACAAGGAACGGTGTTTTATTTGATTGTAAGTTTGCAACAAAGTGCAGTAATCAGTGCCAACCAGTGTTTCAGGGAGAAGAGTTCATAGATACATATTCATACAAACTGCACCCTGAAAAGGGGCTGACATAAACATACATATTATAAAAGTAATATATAGTTTGCTATCTTTATTTGAAAACCACAGTGTGCACCAATACAAAAGCAGTATTGCCATGTCAGGGTTGGAGGCAGAGCCCAATATGGCTAGTTTCCCTCATGTACTGTTATATTGTTCTGTGTGCAATTGCTTCTAGTAATGCTTGTATGGCTCGCTGACACAGAAGAAAATCCCTGACAGTAGATTTGCTGATGCTATAAAGTGTTTTTTTTTTTCTTTGTTTGTTTGTTAACTTTACATAACAAAAGCTATGTAAATTTGGCAATCTATCCTTAGTGCTTGCGCGCATAAACAAAATATCGACAAAGGTCATCGTTTTATTATACAAGTTGGTTCTTTCAACATTTAGCAGTCAGGCTCATCCAGTGAACCCTAAATATTAAAAACAGCAGGGCACAAAATACAATGCGACAATATTCAGACGTACAAATACAAAAGGTGATGATGTTTTTAGGGCAGCTATCTATGCTAGTGTCCTGATTCTGTACCTATTGAGACTTTTTCAAGCAGTCCCACTCTCTAATAATGCTGGGTACACACTAAAAGATGATTTTATTGAAATCTTATAAGAGACCACACACACAAGGACAAAAAAAATCCAGCCCAATCTTATGAGGAAACGTAACGTATTATCAGAAAAGTGTCTAATTCATACGGAATTGATCTTGCGTATGATTTTTAAAGGGATGTGTGCCCCCAATCCACACCTAAACCTAAATGAGAAAGTTGTACTAAGAACTAATGAGATCATACAAAGAAATAATAACTAGCCACTAAATCAAAAAAGTTACAAATTGACCCAAGTTACGAACATTTTTAGATTGACCCGTTTTGTTTGTATTGTGAGGTGAGCCGTGAGACAGCACACCATACACCAACAGATCTTCGACTATTCAAATCTTGCAGAATCTCTACAAATAACTAAATAAACATTGACATCATTTATCGACGTAAATCTACAAGCTGATCTTCCACTTTGTCAAAAATTTATGAATTGCCATGAGATTGTTGAAAATGTTTAGATTTCACCGTTTTGTTCGCATAGTGTGTGGAGTGCCGTGAGACCGCACACTATACATCAACAGATCGTTCATTTTTCTAATCATGCAGCGTCTCTTGAGACTATAGAACAAAATTCAACATTTATCGACATAAATCTACAAGCTGATCTTCCACTAATTCAAAACGTTACGAATTGACCCAAATTATGAACATTTTTAGATTTCACTATTTTGTTCGTATAGTGTGTGTGGTGTGCAGTGAGACAGCACACTATACACCAACAGATATACAACTGTTCAAATCTTGCAGAATCTCTTGAGACTAGAAAACAAACATGGCGGACAAATAACTGATTAAACATCGACATCATTTATCAACATAAATCTACAAGCTGATCTTCCACTAAATCAAGAAGTTATGAAATGCCATGAGATTGTTAAATGTTTAGATTTCAATGTTTTGTTCGCATAGTGTGTGGCTTGCCGTGAGACAGCACACTATACTCCAACAGATCGTTAATTTTTCAAATCTTGCAGAATTTCTTGAGGCTATAGAACAAACATGGTGGACAAATAACTGAATAAACATCGACATCATTTATCAACATAAATCTACAAGCTGATCTTCCACTAAATCAAAGTTACAAATTGACCCAAGTTACGAACATTTTTAGATTTCACCATTTTGTTTGCATGGTGTATAGTGTGCTGTCTCGCTGCACGCCACACACTAACAGATCAATATATTTTCAAGTCATGCAGCATCTCCAAATCAAAAAGTTATGAATTGCTATGAGATTGTGTTGAAAATGTTTAGCTTTCACTGTTTTGTTCGCATAGTGTGTGGCATGTCGTGAGCAAAGAGCATAGAATCGCCAAGAGGCGACACTCTAGTGCGATTTGGGAAACAGCCACTAGATGCTGCTAGTGTCACGCAGTGGCCATTTTGGAATGAAAACTCTAATAGAACAACAGCAACGTCTTTAAACTATTTAAAGTGCTAATGATTGTGATGGTAAGTGTTGTATTTTCATCTTTCAGGTTGTATCTCAGCTTTTAATGCACTTTTTAAAACAAATAAATAACTAAAAAACAAAGCAGCTGCTTGCCATCGCAACAGCAATAAGATCCAATGGACGGCCGATCACTTTCACTCCAAAATGGTGGAATTGCAAGGCTGTTGCAATGGAAAGTTCTATCGAGTGTCGCCTCTTGGTGATTCTAAGCTCACCAGACAGCACACCACACACCAACAGATCGTTATTTTTTCAAATCTCTTGAGATTAGAGAACAAACATGATGGACAAATAACTGCATAAACATCATCATTTATCGGCATAAATCTACAAGCTGATCTTCCATTTCTGCTGTGCAAATCGGGTTTTTTTTGTGCTCCGCCATGACTGTGCTTATTTATTATACTGCCCTCTTCTGCCAGCTTGCTTTCTGATTGGATATTGTTTTGTTTCATGTGATGATCTCCAGTTCGTATGTGCGTTTCTCCTCAGGGTTACTTCCACACATCGGGATTTTGATTGTAAATATTATATGATTCCCAATCGGAGATGTTCTTCTGTGCAGATTAAGTCTTAATACACCTCACACCACAGGAAATTTTAAGATATACTTTTGAACCATCGAGATAAGATGTTACTTTAGATTGTCAAAAAGGGGAGAAATGGGCCCAAAATCATCCTGATTACCAGTGTGTGTGTATGTGTGTGTGTACCCAGCATTATCAAGCTAGTAAAACAAATAAATTTTTGATCTTTTAAATCAAACATCTGACCGCAACCTGCTCTGAGTCTTATGCTAAAGATGAAAGATGCGATCTCTCCTCTGGCTTTACCTTCATCACAAAACCTCACCACAATTTGTAATTAATACAGCGAGTGGAATTTGCATGTACATTTAAACAACAACTGACCGAAAAAAAAAAATTGAAACGTTTAAATAAAAAGAGCAAATTAGCCCTTAAGAGTTCTCAACTTGATGTGAAGTTCTGACTCAAATCCCAGCTGAGCAATGTCAAAATTTCCTTCAAAGAGCCAACAGGGTGGGAGAATTTAGGGAATCTGAGGACTGGTCACCGCTGCTACTGCTGCGGCGATGGGCTTTAGAGCAGGACTCTGACGAGGGTGATGGGCTCTCAGGCTCGAGCATGCTGGGATAAGTAAAGATGAGACTTGGGTTGTTTGGGGTGGACACCGGTGTAGAAGCAGCAACCACAGGCGTGTTGAGGCTGTCTCCATCAGAGCAATACATGCCGCCGCCTAAGCAGATGGGCTTGATGACTGAATGCTGGACTTTTTCTTCTTCGTCGTCATCATCCTCGTCATCATCGTCGTCTTCCAAAGGCTCCTGTTTAACCACCACTGGGTTGAGGGTGTTCATTGGCCCACGGGGAACCAGATTAGAGCGCATGGTCAGGGGGAGGGGCACGCACTGCTGGGAATGTGAGCTCTGGTGGCGTTCTTCGGGCGGCAGTTTGCACACAGGGTTGTGGGCCACCAACATAAATTCCAACTTGTCCTTTTCCTTCTGCAGGGTTTCGATTTCTTTCTGGAGGTCAGCTTTCTCTTCTTCTAGCTTCTCTGTTTCCTTTAAATAGAAATGTAACAAAAATGATTATGCTTCATTTTGGCTAATATTCTTGAATAGATTTTCAAGATCATTCATTTTTTTATTATTGCTAAATTGTGTTTTTACACAAACAGACTCTGGATCTTATGTTGCACATGTACATTTGTGAAAATAGCCAAAAATAAATCAATTTTTTTTGGGCTTAAAGGGAAAATCGATAATTTTGAAGTAAATATATATGAAGATATTTCATACAAGATATTTTCCAACTATAAATAATTAAAAACAATTTTTGATGCATTGCTAAGAACTTAAACAAGTTTAAACCTGATTTTTTTTTTATATTTTGATTTTTATAATCCTCCCAGTTATTCGAATATATATTTATCTTTCTGTCCTAACAAATAAAACCTAAATGTACAGTTGAAGTCAGAATTATTAACCCTTATTGTATTATTAGTTATTGTAAATTGATGGTTTGTTCTGTAGACTATCAAAAAAAATATATAGCTAAAGGGCTAATAATAATGTTTTTAAAAAAATTTAAACTGCTTTTATTCTAGCCGAAATGAAATAAGACTTTATCTAGAAGAAAAAAAAATATTATCAGACATACTGTGAAAATTTCCTTGCTCTGTTAAACATCGTTTGGGAAATATTTAAAAGGAAAAATGCACAGGGTGGCTAATAATTAAGACTTTTTTTTCAGCTTTCAGATAATGAATAAATCGCAATTTTAAAAAAAAATGGACACTTATGACTGGTTTTGAGTAACAATTTTTTCACTTTTTTTTGGGTAAATTAGCGATTCATGAAAAAATTGCAGATGACATTGTGGCTCAGTGGTTAGCACTGTCGCTTCAAAGCAAGAAGGTCGCTGGTTTGAGTCCCCGCAGGGTCAGTTGGCATTTCTCTGTGTGTTGGTGTAGATTTCCTTCAGGTGCTCCGGTTTACCCCAAAGACATGCGCTATAGGTGAATTTAATAAACTAAATTGACCTTACTGATTGATTGTGTATAGATGGAGAAGTTCATTTTGCTGTGGCGACCCCTGATAAATAAAGGGAGTAAGCTGAAGGAAAATGAACAAATGAATGAAAAAAAGTTGCAGGTATGATTTCTGGGGCTCTAGAGGAGGATGTCAGGTTGGTAGCAATTGGTTTTTAAAGTGCAATGGGTTGTTTCTTACCGAGAAATGATCCTGTAATATGTAATCTATTTAGTTTTTTTATGTGAAACTGTTTTTTTTTTAGATCGCAAACAGAAATCACAGCAAATTCTTCATCTAAGGGTACATTGATTTTTTTTAAATACACTGAGCCGCAGTACACAGTTAATAAACATCATAACACTACTGAAACTAGTGGCACGGTAGGTCAGTGGTTAGCACTGTTGCCTCACAGCAAGAAGGTCGCTGATTCGATTCTTGGCTGGGTCAGTTGGCATTTCTGTGTGGAGTTTGCATGTTCTCCCCGTGTTGGCGTTGGTTTCCTCCGGGTGCTCTGATTTCTCCCACAGTAGGTAAATACAAAATATAAAAATTGGTGTATGTTTGTGAATGGATGTTTCCCAGTACTAGATTGCAGTTGGATGGGCATCCGCTTTGCAAAACATATGCTGGATAATTTAGCGGTTCATTATGCTGTGGTGATGATCCCTGATGAATAAAGGGACTAAGCCGAAGGAAAATGAATGAATGAATAAAAGCATCAATGAAGATTCTCAACGCATCGGTAATTAATTCAACAGAGTAAATTCTAAAAGGATTATCTTAAGGTATAGTGGCACATTTCAGTTTTTGAATTTATAATTTAATAACTTTTTTAAAATAAACCTCATTCAATTATAATTCCCCGACTTTTCTTAAATGTTAGTATATTTCACTCTAACATTATTTTATTAAAATTACAAAACACAAAAGAGTTCAGAGTGTGTCTTCAATGGCAATAATGGTCATAATGATCGCATGCATTTCAGCATCTGCTATTTTTTCCCCATACATTTAAATAATAAAAATAAAAACATAACGTTCTGGTAGCAAAAACTACTTCAAACATGTCTTTCAAAACCACATTTTCACTGCTTTGAAAAAACTTTGCTCTCCCACTTTCCAGACAAACAGAGACCTTCACTGGTGGTCTAGTAACTCGTAACACAACTGTACATCACAAAAAGATTGTATTCTAAGGGTAATGGCTTAATGAAATATGACAACAGATATTTGACAATTCTAAAATCTTAATAGAAGTGTTGAATGTAAATATAACAGACAAAAACAAATTCAATGCAGTGGTATATGAACAGTCAGAATGATTGCTATTCTAGTAGTTCTAGAATTCTGGTAGTTCCTTTGTTTACCAGAACTTTTGACCAATTTAGCCCTATGAAAGTCACGCTGCAATTCTGTCCCAATTAAATTTGAGTTATTTACATTACTTTGGCATATTGAATGCTTGAAACAACAGTGTTTAAAAAAAAAAGTCAAGACCTACAAAAGGTGTTACCACTGACAGTGTAGCCAGACAGCCAAAGATAAACTAGCGCTCTTTGACTTATTGTACAAGGAAGAAGGAAACTAAAATCAATACAAGGGCTACATTTACAAAGAAAGAAACATTGTTGTAAAAAAGGGCCTAGCTATCATCAGTTCCTTATTTGGTGAAGAATGAAGTAGGGAATGGAAGAGGTAAGTTTGCAGTGCGTGGGGTTTGATGGCTACTCTAGTTGCGGTTTTCCTCCTCTATAGACAAGAGCTTCTCTCCAACCCCTGTAGCACATTCCTTCCTAATGTTTCAGGTCTGACAGCCTGAGAAATGCCATTATAAAGCTAAGTAGTTCAACTGCAGCCAGCATTGTCTGAAACTCGGGGCATTCCCACGTCTGCCAGACAGACAACACTTTTCCTCTGTGCTTTTTAAAACCTTTTTTTTTTTTTTTTTTGGTCATTTTAGTGTTCCTTGTAAAACAAAAATAAGATATTTCATTGAGGATATTTGCTAAATACGAGTTGTACCAGTGGTTTTAGGGAATGCTTGTGTTTTGTGCTTGTGGTAATAAATAAAAAATAAAAAACACCCACCCCTTGAAGCATCTCGGTCAGCTCTCTTCTGCGGTTCCGACATTTTGCTGCAGCTAGTTTGTTTCTTTCTCGTCTAACTCGCCGTTTTTCTTCTTCCTCTGGGGTGAGCTGTAAACAAAACACGGGTTGAGCTTATACATGTAACCATTCTCAATTTAGTTTTTACAAATGATAAAAAATGTAAAAGCTTAGCATTAACTATTATGCCACAATTTAAATCACATGCATTTATACAAGTGCTTTAAACTACATTTACATTTTCAAAGCAAAGTCCCAGCTGGCAAGGAAGTATTCCTCTGTTGACCCCATATGTACAAGATGCAAGAAGTCCCCTGCTACATTAGCCCCATATGTTTTGGTTATGTCCCAGATTATCTGTAATTTGATCCAAAAAAAAAAAAAAAATTATATATATATATATATATATATATATATATATATATATATATATATATATATATATATATATATATATATATATATATATATATATATATATATATATATATATATATATATATATATATATATATATATATATATATATATATATATATATATATATATATATATATATATATATATATATATATATATATATATATATATATATATATATATATATATATATATATATATATATATATATATATATATATATATATATATATATATATATATATATATATATATATATATATATATATATATATATATATATATATATATATATATATATATATATATATATATATATATATATATA